ATTGTCCGAGGGGTATTTGTCCTGATACCATTTAAATATACTGGTAAAAACTGGTAAGGCAAAAAAGGGTAAGTATGGTTGTTTTTACTACATTTCCCTTACTCTCTCTATTTGTACTACTCTCCTTATGGGGGAGTCTTTACGTTTGCCACCAAACAAGGGCTACCTACGGCCTTGTAGGTCACAGTAGGTGCAACCACATGCGTATCTACATACAAATATAAATTCTGTAACGACAACGTTGACGATGAAATCGGCAGGCATGCCCATAGGCCTGCATGCCCAGTTGATTAGCCAACCACATTTTCAAGATGGCGGCGTATACAAACAAGAGAAAAGTTTTCAGCTGATAAAAAGCTGCATATGTGATGGAATCTGCCGCTTTTTGCCATCACGCTAGTCATTTTATTAGAACTATAGTGTTTTTAGTTATTATAGCGTTACCTTCAAATACCTCAGGTAAGTTCAAAATGATTAGTTTTTTTGCTTTTTAAAGTCGACAAATTTAACAAAAGTATACTCAATACTGTTACTGTATCGCAAGTCCTATCGTTGACTAGTAGTAGTACTACTACTACTATAGCCACAAGTTCCCTTCTCGCTTAACACTACGTGGCGAGAGGCACGACGTGTATCACTATCAGTCGGAGAGCTTGGTCGGTTTACTACTACTAGTACTTTAGGTACTGAGATAGGCCAAGGTAAGTTAGATAGGATATACCATTGTACTGTAGGATAGGTAGGGTTGTGGGAGTTGTAGGTTAGACTGTTACTGTTAGTGTTAGTGTTAGTGCGGCACAGAGTTGGGCTCACGACGAGTCATACAGGTAGCTAGTAGTAGTACAGTAGTAGTAGTACTACGGTAGCCACAAGGAGGGTAGGATGGGTCCTATGGCTATGCCGCCCCGTCACGATACATTGAAATTGATCATTTGTCGGTGGTGGTGCTCAATGATCAATCTTCGTTTGGGACTCCTGTATATATATATTTCCAACATGTGCTAATCTAATCCAGGGTGCTAAACTAGGATTGGCGGGTTAACATTAGATGAACTGGGTAGTGCGCGATGAGGCTGATCATGCCGATGATGTATGTATAGGGATTCTAAAGTAGGCCTGTGAGCCAGGTACCGTACTAATTACTGTAGGTTCAGGTAGGTTAGCAGTGGCATTCAGACAGACAACATCTCGATCTACACCAAGTCCTGAAATCAACCAGATTACATGGAATGTGTATTTGGAGTTTTAAGTTGGGTTTGTTTTGTCATGTGTTTTAAATATCGGATTCAAATTTTAAATCGAGGTATTTATTTAATTTTAAACTTAATTAATATATTGATTATCGGATCCTAATGTACATAACTATATGGCATCTGAGCTAGGTTTGCACAGCATTATAGTACCCAGGATTACACGTACCATTGCAGACTACAGTCCTAAAATATAGGCTCACAGTTTTCTACTTTAGTACCCCGGTACATACGTATAGTTAGGATTAGCTCGGATTTAGATTAGGAATAGTGGTGATGTATAAAGGGGCCTAAAGTAGTGTTGCGCTGTAAACTTGACAATGGCTGACCCAAGAGGTTTTTGACGTGAATTACTTTCAATAGTGAAATTTTCACTCTATAAGCTAATGACTAGGGCCTACATATATGGCTGTAGGAGGTCGGCCATAAAAACATATATATATATATATATAATATCATAAAGCCTATACCCCAGGTACTGTTTAGTGGCCACCGTGCATTCTATGCCATTCTGTGCTGTTGACTAACTTATTAACAGTGTCTGTATAAAACGCGTAACTTTTTTTTTCTACCCTAGGAAGCGAATATTGCTATTGGCTATTAGAAATAATTGAATGTCTACTCTATATAATTGATGTATTGCTATTGGGCATTTTATATATTTTTTTTAATTTATCTTAATAATCAACTTGTTAACCGTTTCCTTTAAAAAAATGTATAACAAGTTGTATAAAGCAGTGATATGGTATCAGTGTAGGAAAGTGTATAATCTGGATTCCTCGAATATTACTATTAGCTGTGCAGGCACGTGGTGTTGACAGATGTGTTATTACTGTTAACCTAGTGGATATTGAATAGCACCCATAATGTCAGGCTGAAAGTTCAGGTCTTTAAGTCTTACCATGGTCTACTTATTTCAGTTTGCTTCAGTTGACGCAAAGCCTTTTAGCAGTTGCAGAGGCCATATTTTTTGTGTGCATCTCTGTTGGAGGAGCTTGTGTGCAAAACGGGGTATTTCATCAAATAATGGCACTTAAAAACAGTGTTTGCAAAGTCGTTGTTCAAAGAGAGACGAGAATATATTAGAGAATGACTACAATAACGAAATAACTGTTTTTTTATGCAGTAGTTTTTCTTAGCCTTTAATAGTCTAATATCATGCCAGTGTTTATTCCTGAAATTACTGACACTAAAGTTCCAGAAATGCACCCATACAGAAATTGTAAATTATGGTCATTAATTTGTGATTGTTGTAAAAGGGTAATTAGAACAAATGTTTTAAAGTGCATTGCTGTATGGAAGAGAAGAATTTCACTGAAGCTGTAATTTACATAACTACTAGTGTGCATTTCACACAGTATTTGATGACACCAAGCGCAGATAAACTTTACCCCTGTAAAGTTATAAACCCTATATATGTTCATGTGCTCATGGTGATACCAAGTGTGAGTATGTAGTGCATATCTTGCTCAACACCGGGCATCTCTTCTAGTGACTCCATGTTATTAAGTCCTAAAAATAATCAATTTATGTGGTTAAAACAGTTAGAGTCAGCTGGGAGTATGCTTGTATTGGCCAGGAAGATATCTGCAAGATTGCACTTATAATTATATATAATTGTAGCTGCCTGGAAACGAGGGGGCACCTTACAGAATTTCACTTTACAAGAAACATTAAATATGGGTGCGTAATTTTTAATAAGGGTGCATCCGCCATCCCTTCAGTACCCAGGGATTTGCTGTACTTAAGTTTCACATAGAGTAAGACGGGATGTCAGTATATATTATTAGTTTAATTAAATGATTTATGCATATTACAGTAGTGTAGAACAGCTAGTTGTCAAAAATTAATCGTGTTTGATGTTCGTTTGGGAATATCGAAACAAGTAAGCGTGTACATATATGTTCAATTTGATCTCAGTGTATTTGGGTCTGTCAGTGCAATGTCGGCATTATATAGCAATAAACCAATAGCTTCATTGCAATAAATGATATATATATATACAGTGCTCGAAATAAGCGTTGTCCGGTTGTCCGAGACAACCAGAATTTGCGCCGGACAACCTAACCAGTCTGAGACATTGTCCGGTGGACAACCAAGAAACCCTATCCCTATCCATAACTCTAAACCGACTCGGCTATCTTATATACGCGTGGTACCCAATTAATCTATGGTGTATAGCCTTTTGCTTTCAATGTTTTGCATCTGAACTGACAATCACAGCCCTCGACACTAACGGTTGTCCGATTGCCCGGGACAAGTGAAAGTCTATGTCGGACAAGTTATTCTCTTGCCTAGTTGCCCGATCGGACAACTGAAAAGTTCTAGTTGTTTAATATTCCTAACATCCTCTGACCCAGGGCGCTATCGCACTACATTCTCACTTCAAACGTTTAAAAAGGTCCTTGAAAAAAGCAGCCTGCGACACCCACTGTTATCATTACAGATTTATTCAGAGCGGCAATGCATACCTCCCTGGCCGGGGCGGCATTGCATGATTTATGTACTGGGGTGGGGGTACGATTGTTTATAAGTTGGTTGGGGCATATTCACTACTGAATATGTAGGGGGTGGGCATCGCGGGGATGAGAGGCCGACAGCAAAACTCTTTCCTGTGATTGAGGAAAAAGCTGCAATTGGTAATGACACACAATGAGCGTGCCAGCATGCAAACATAAACGTGTGAATTTCATTACGATTTTACATGTACTGTATTTACTCGTGTATAAGTATAATTCATGTATATTATAAGTCGCACCCCATATTTTGCATTGAAAAGTTGGTACAAACATTGGTACATTAACAAGATTTCTTAACCTCGTCTATAAGTCGCACCCCCTAATTTTTTTTATTGAAGTTGTGTACAAAAAGCGCGGTTCATACACAAGTAATTACGGTATATATACTGTAAGTGTAATACGCACGCACGCGTCAGACACATGCCTAGGTATGTGCGAGCCTATATGCACGCAGGGAATACTGGCAAAAATATCAGGAGTGTATAATATATATATATATCTACATCTATCTATATATGTTATATATGTATATATATCTATTTATATATCTATCTATATAATATATATCTCTATATTATACACTCCTGATAATATGATATGCACTGAACCAAAAGAGGACATTAACGCCTCATAGATTGCACAAGTAAATTTTGGACAAGTAAAATCAAAATTCGGACAAGTAAAAATTGCTTCTTGTTGCCCGACAGGACAACCAGATCTGAAAATAAGCGTCGAGGCCTGAATCAATCACAACCAACTAGTGTAGGCTAGCTGGCACAATAATGTTCAGTTTCATACTTCAAATCCAAGTGTTTTCTAGCTCATCAAGAAATCTTAATCGTGAATTAAATCGTGAATAACATAAAAATATGGGACCAGCTGCTATTTCCAACACTGGTATATGTCAGGTTTTCTGATTTATGAGAGGTGAACTCGATTTGGAACCAGCAAACCAGCAAGTTTCCAAAATTTGCTGGGGGAGGACCCCCATACCCCCCCGCCTTTTTTTCACCCCCTCCTTGGAATCCTAGACCCACCACTAAACAATTACATATCTTGGGAGCAGAGAACAATGAACAAAAATGTCGCGCAAAACAAAGATTGCAGAGCTGAGAGGTAGAGGAGCCGTACCTAGGGTGTGGAGAGGGAGGCGGAGCTAGGAGCCAATAAAATATTAAGTCATCCACTATTTTGCGTAGTTTGCTGTTTTTGGCCCCCCTTGTTAAAAAATCCTGGCTACGCCACTGTTTTTGGGTGTTTTCTGATAATATTATTATGTGATTGAAAATAGAAGATTTAGGGATATTTTTTGGGACAACCAGAAATTGTTGCGGACAACCCGATTTGATGCCTGGGTTGTCCGCAGGACAACCACATTTTTTTTCTTATTTCGAGCACTGTATATATATATATAGCATACTGCTGGGAATATAAACTCAAAATGCTTTTAAATCAATGATCCTCCAGCTTCATTGAGTTTGAATTGTAAATTAGTCGCTAAACTGTCCCTTTCTGTAACGTCTATTATTTATTTCAAATATGGACAGGTTGTGATATATCTCTGATCTGGGATTGTTTAGCTAGGTAATTATTCATGTGGATTTTACATTGCACTTAAGTGTAAGATCGAAAAATAAGGACTTATTTTGATATGCATCTTCGTAGAAGCATGAAAACAGGAGGCTGTGTA